GCGACCGGAGGAGACTCAGTAGTCAGTGTGTACAGGCTCGACCCCGGCTGACGGGTAAACGTGGCCAAGTGACGGCCCGTCCGAGCACAGGTACAGTGGGTCACTCGCTGACTCGCAGGAGTGAACTGGTGAACCCCTCCATCCTGGAGGTCAGCACCACTCACCAAGTTCGTAGAGAACGAGGGGAGGTAAAGACCCGACAGGGTGCCAAAAGGGGCCGCCGGACACGGTAGAACAGTGGAGAAGTGGGCAAGGACAGGGCCCCCAGAGGGGTCTGCAAGGGAGACTGCCACTGGCCGACTAAGCGGCGTAAGCGTGGTGCGGTCTCGAAAGAAGGAGCGGGAAGCACCCGAGTCAAGGGTGAAGGTGTGGGTGGCCGGAGCCGACGCGGTACCTGAGAGCGCAGACTCACCAGCACCTGGGGCAGCAGGCTCACTGGCACCTAGAGCAGCAGCCTCACCAGCACCTAGAGCAGCAGCCTCAATGCCCGGGTCAGGCGGAAAACACCGGTAACAGTCACCCTCATCACTAATAGTCACAGCATACATTGCAGCAAGAATAGCATCATAATCAAGATCAAAGATCGCAACACCCGCCCTAAACAGCTCGCCCCAGCGAGGGATCTCAGTAGCGTCGGGGAACTGATGACGCCAAGCGTCCGTCAGGCGGCCAAAGCAGCGCTGGGTGGAGTGCGGACCCCCACACTGCTCACTCGTGCGGTCGCCTGAACGTAGAACGTAGGTACAGGGGCCAGCACCCCCACCCCGCTGACGAGCAGTGTACCACTCACGAAGCTGCTGGGGGGAAGGGGTCTCACGAGTGCGCTGCTGCTGCTGGCGCTGACCACCACCGGAGCCGACCCTCTGCGAAGAGCCGCCCCGACCAGCTCCACCTCCGCCGCCGCTACCTCCACCACCGCCTCCACCTCCACCACCTCCGCTCGCACCGCCACCACCGCCGCCTCCTCCGCCTCCACTGCCGCCACTAGTGCCCCTACTCCCGCCACCACTCCCACCGCCACCCCCACCCCCTCCGCCGCCTCCACCGCCGCCTCCACCGCCCCCGCCAGCTCCTCCAGCGCCCTTGCCCCCCTTGCCCGTGCCTGAGCGGCGTCTCCCGCTAGGGGCAGACGCCGCGCCGACCGACTCAAGACCAACGAGGTCGGCCGCAGCAGCAGAGGCAACAGAGGGCAAGAGGGGGGAGGGGGAGCACCCCTCAAAGACAGGGGTACGAGGGTCACCACGAGAGGCTCCTACAGCGACTATACTCTTTTCTGCTGCTAGGAGGCGCTCCTCGAGGAGGTCAACGGTGAGGGTGGTGGGGCAAACAGAGAGGAAGTGGTCCCTGACCGAGCGAAGGGTGTCAGGGAGCCTGGTGACTACGTAGTAGAGGGTGATGTACATAGGGGGGGGGTTCTTGGCGCATAACTCAGCAGGAAGCGCAGCGCGGTAGCGAATGTCACTAGTGCGAAGGTGCGTAATGAGGTCAGCGACTGTGGGAAAAGCGGCGAGGTCAGGGAAGAGGTACGGCAGTATGAGGCGGCTAAGGGCAGCAGTGGCAGGGGAAGAGTAGCGTGGAACGACAGCGTCGTACAAGGTCTTAGCACTCTTGTACTGACTAAAATGCGCGCGCTCAGCGGTCGGTAAGTGGCGGCGCACAGCAAGGCGAGCAGCAGCATCGCGCGTGGCCCACTGTGAGCGAACAGTGGCGTCAGCATCAGCAGCAGGGGCAGGAGAGGCACCAGAGGTGAGGTCAAACAGAGAGAGACCGTCTGCCCTATCGCACTGTAGGAAAAGCTGCAGATCATCTACCCAGCCCTCAAAGTCAACAGCCCGACCCTCAGCGTCAAAGGTGAGAACAGTGGGGGTGGCCATGACAGCAGTAGACTGGCAGAGAGAGCAGCGGGGTAGGGCAGTGCAGTGGCAGAGGCGCTGCTCTTACCAGGCAGGTGGGGCGGGCCAAGGCAGGCCGGCAGGGACAGGGCCGCGACGGCAGGGACTGCGGCATCTCGGCTGCGGCGGCGTGGCGGCTCGGCGGCTCGGCGGCTCGGCTGCAGGGCGGCTCGGCGGCTCGGCAGCTCGGCGGCTCGGCGGCTCGGCAGCTCGGCGGCTCGACGGCTCGGCAGCTCGGCGGCACGGCGGCAAGGGCGGCTCGGCGGCTCGGCGGTGACGGCGGCTCGGCTGCTCGACGGGGTCGGGAAGGGCAGCTGAGGGGCCGAGGAAGGGCGGCAGGGCCGCGAAGGGCGGCGACGGGGCCGCAAGGGGCGGCAACGAGGCCGCTGAAGGGCGGCGACGAGGCCGCTGAGGGGCGGCGACGGGGCCGCTGAAGGGCGGCGACGAGGCCGCGAAAGGGCGGCGACGGGGCCGCGGAAGGGCGGCAATGGGGCCGCTGAAGGGCGGCGACGGGGCCGCGGAGGGGCGGCGACGTGGCCGCTGAAGGGCGGCGACGAGGCCAAGGGGAGGGGGGGACGGCGACGGGGCCGCTAAGGGCGGCTACGGGGTCGCGGCTCGGCGGCGACGGGGCCGAAAGGGGCGGCGACGGGGCCGTAAGGGGCGGCGACGGGGCCGTAAGGGGCGGCGACGGGGCCTTAAGGGGCGGCGACGGGGCCGTAAGGGGCGGTCGCGGGGCCGTGAGGGGCGGCGACGGGGCCGTAAGGGGCGGTCGCGGGGCCGTGAGGGGCGGCGACGGGGCCGCTAAGGGGCCACGCGGGGCCTAGAGAGGGCAGCGACGGGACCTGAGGGGCCGCTAAGAAGGGCGCGACGGGTCGCTAGGGGCGGGACACTAGGCGCGCTTCGGGCAGGGGCGGCACGCGCCCCGGGTAGGAAAAAAAAACTTGGTGGGCCCTAGGAACAGTTCCCACGAGGGAACCTGCTCGATACCATGAGAAACTTAGAACGAGAATGAGTTGACTAAGGAATGAAAGTGATACAAATATGAAACCCTAGAATTGTGTACCCCTTAGTATCTAACCCGCTACAGCCTACACAGGCTAGATCATATAAGTTTGACAAATTAACCCTAAACACCAGGGCGGTTCCCTTGTTTAGAATCGATATCATCCAAAAAAATGAGACCAGGTTCCCTTTTTTTTCCACTGCCTTACGGGACATCAACCCTAAACACCGGAACGGTTCCCATGTTTAGGGCTGATTTCCCGAACAATGTCCAGGTTCCCAAGGCATTGAATTTTTCCTTTTCGGGCTTCCCTGCCAGGCCGATTTTGTGTGTTGCGTTGCGTTGCGTGTGTTGCGTGTGCTGCTTGTGTTGCGCGGGTTGCATCCCGTGACATAACAGTATTTTTAGTGGCAGGTGTGTACAAACAGTAACAACAGAGGGAGAAACACGACGCGATAGCATGCACCTGAGCAGCTTTTCCCGACTAAGTTACATGCACCTGAAAATGGCCGAATAGTGACCCACACTGACGGAAACCAAGAGCGAAATGACGCGCATTAGCGAAAGTTGCGTTTTGTTTGATTGGCTCAACCCAAAGTATCGCGACCTTGCCACGTCGTCGTTTCTCTCAAATGGATGTACCGCGTTTGCGCGCGCCTTGTTCCCTCGCTTTTCCGGCCCTTTTCCTTCGAATTTTGGGCCTTGCGAGTCGCACAGGCGAATCGATATATAAAAACGTCCCCAATAAAAAGCAAGTTCGTGGCTATCTAAATACTAGAACTTGAAAAAAAAAGACTAAAACACACTCGGATGACCTGCCATCCGAGAGAGGCTAACCCTAAACACCGCACGACAAGTGTTTAAAGTTGACACCGAAATACACTGGTATGAATGTTTTCTCCCGATATCCATTTATATAACTTTGACCCGCGACTTGCTACGGAAGTAAATATGAGGTGTAATAAAACAAGATATTCTATGTTTTACACAATTGCGAAAGTGGTCGCGAACTTCTTCCATAAGTAACAGCTGTTTCGCGCACGATATAACTTAACCCAAATCTTAGCAGTAACTCACGTAATTTCAACTTTCCATTGAGCGTGTCATTGTGTGACCATAAGTGATAGAATCATGGGGCAACGTATGACCATCCGTGATAGAATACCTAGATTCTGTGACCGTTCGTGATTGCAGCTTGATCATTCGTGATAACGAGCTCATGATTGTGACTGCTCGTGTAATTTTTCCCTAACAGTGCCGAAAGTTATCGGGCTCCCACCTGAGTACGTTTCCCGCAATGTTGGGATCGCACTTGAAAATGGCCCATGGTGCACTGTGTGAACCGAAAAAGGGCTTCGTCAACGATCCACTTAGGATAGCCCCATCAACTGCAGGTTACTCCCGTAAACCACACCCCTCCTAGAGTCGACTGTCATTCACCACCACTCTGCACCAACCAGCCGATTAAAACCGGAGTCCCAAACAGCCCCAAAGTGCCTCAACCTTCCTAACTTTGAGAAGGGGTGACCCAGTAGGTACGACTCACTTCGCAAATCGGGGGGACAATTTTCGTCATAGTTACTAGTTGTGAATACCTCAGACACGATATTTTCTTTGCCTGACTCAGCATACTAGGCCGTCCGTCTTACATGCAATGAAATGTGTTCTCGCCACGGTTCAGCAGCATTTCATTGGGGATCCGGGTCGCGTTTCTTCTCGGGATTCTCCACCTTCTGAAGAGAATCGAAGGTGTGTCTCCTAGCTGCCTCGTGTACATTCTGTCCAGACTCTTCCTTCATAGAGCGTCCATCCTCCCATGCCCGTTCAATCCAAACGCGACGCGGGGATCCGTGCGCGTCGTCGCATTACCCCTTACCTTCGCGGATTCCGCGCGCGCTGCGTTCCCCGATGTTCCATTCCTCATATGCCCCATTCCCCCTACCGCCCGAGCATCCCGTGCGCTTTTCGTCTCGTCACTCTCGTCCTTGCATCCGCGCCTCGCACGTTTCCCTATCTCGTCCTTTCCTTGCCTTCACGCCTCGTTCCCATTTTTGCTGACGTCCGATCATACATTCCGTGCCTCGTCCATTGCTCCCTTTGATCCGATGCTCCTTTCCGTGCCTCGCTCGTTTCCCTCTCGCGTCCGTTCCTTGCATCCGCGACTCGTTCCCATTCCTTCTCTCGTTCGAGGTCACCCTCCCACTCATCATTCCTTGCTCTCTCTCGCCCGATCTTCCTTTCGTGCCCCACTTCTTGCTCCAAGACGTCCGGTCCTCCCTGCGCCTCGTTCCTTTGCTCTTTGCTCGTGCGATCCTACCATCTGCGCCTCGTTTCTTGCTCTCGCTCGTGCGATCCTACCATCCACGCCTCATTTCTTGCTCTCGCTCGTGCGATCCTACGTTCATACCCGAGTTTATTGCTCTCGCTCGTGCGATCCTACCATCCGCGCCTCGTCTCCATTCCTCGGTCGCCGGATCCTCATCTTTGCGACGTCTCCCTGGTTTCCTCCCATGCGCACTTTGTCTCATTCTCGGTTGTTCTTCTCCTCCGTGCCCGTGTAGCCTCGTACGTTCACCTCCTGTGCGCCTCCTCTCTTATTCGCCCCTGTTTCTCTCCTCCTGTGCGCGTTCTCTCTCGTTCTTCTCTGTTTCTCTCCTACTTGTTCGCGTCCTCTCTCATTCCCCTCCGTCTCTCTCCTCCCGTGCGCCTTCTCTCTCATTCGCCCCTGTTTCTCTCCTCCTGTGCGCGTTCTCTCTCGTTCTTCTCTGTTTCTCTCCTACTTGTTCGCGTCCTCTCTCATTCCCCTCCGTCTCTCTCCTCCCGTGCGCCTTCTCTCTCATTCGCCCCTGTTTCTCTCCTCCTGTGCGCGTTCTCTCTCGTTGTTCTCTGTTTCTCTCCTACTTGTTCGTGTCCTCTCTCATTCCCCTCCGTCTCTCTCCTCCCGTGCGCCTTCTCTCTCATTCGCCCCTATTTATCTCCTCCTGTGCGTGTTCTCTCTCGTTCTTCTCTGTTTCTCTCATGCTTGTGCGCATCCTCTCTCATTCCCCTCCGTCTCTCTCCTCCCGTGCGCCTTCTCTTTCATTCGCCCCTGTTTCTCTCCCGTTCCCCTGTGCGCCTCTCCTCCCTTGCGCATTTTGTCTCATTCCCCTCTAATCATCTCCTCCCATGCCCGTTCACTCTCAGTCCCCCCTGCGCCTCTCTTCCCCTGCGCATTTTGTCTCGTTCCGCTCTGCTCCTCTCCTCCCGTGCGCATTTTCTCGTTTCACCTCTGCTCGTCTTCTCCCGTGCGCCTTCTCTCTCCTGCCCCTTTGGTTTACTCCTCCCGTGCGCCTTCTCTCTCAATCCCCTAAGTTTGTGTCGTCCCGTGCGCCTTCTCTATCAATCCCCTCTGTTTCTGTCGTCCCGCTCCCCTGTTTCTCGCAATCCCCTCTGTTTCCCGTCTCCCGTGCGCCGTCTCTCTCAATCCCCTCTGTTTATGTCGTCCCGTGCCCCTGTTTCTCTCAATCCCCTCTGTTTTCCTTCTCCCGTGCGCCTTTCTCTTGTTCCCCTTGGTTTTCCTCCTCCTGTGCGCCTTTTCTCTCAATCCCCTCTGTTTTCCTCCTCTTGTGCGCCTTCTCTCTCAATCCCCTCTGATTTCCTCCTCCCTTGCGGCTTCTCTCTCAATCCCCTCTGTTTTCGTCGTCCCGTGGCCTTCTCTCTCATTCCTCCTATGTTTCTCTTATGCCGTGCCCGTTCTCTCTCCCGTACTCTCGTCCCCTCTGTGATCCGCCTGCTCCCCCCTTTGTGCTCGTATTTTATCAGTATCCAGACTTCTCCTCTTCTCCTATGCTCGGCGTCTATGTTTTGCGGCCTGGTGTTTAGTCATGGTGCTTTTATTCTCTGTTTTCACCCTACTCCTCTTCACCCATGCTCCCTGTCTTACTGCTTGCTTGGCAGATGTCCTTTCTCTGCCGCCTTTGTTCCTTCGAGACACGGTCAGGGCTGGGTCGGCACATGCAGAGCAACGCCTGCCCTGCCAACCTCATCAGTAGCAGCGACCAGCTCCAGGCCCCGAAGCATGCAAGATCGAGCTTCATCCCTCCGAACCCCATACTGCGGGCAATACTTCGTCTAGAGCCCTCGCAATCCTTTGTAGAACCCATTGTTGATGCAGATGTGTGTAATGATGCACCTGAAATGCCATGTGACGATGCTGAACACCACAGTAGTGACTCAACATAATCCACTGACTCAGTAGATAGTGTTCTGCCATTTGAACAAGACGACGATGTGACTAGTGCTGCTGGTGCCTCGTGCGCTTATGAAGATGGGGGGGCATCATCTCAAGCAGGTGCAGCATTACCGACAGAGGAAGAGGTGCCCAAGTTCAACCTCAAGGATGCTCTTGCGCACTAGATCCTTTCCAACCGGCTCTCGATCAAACAGATCAACGCGTTGCTGGAAATCCTACGCAAGACCATCCTCAAAATTCAGGATTGGAAGACCTACCGCGATATTCAAGCGTACGTGGAGTCCAAGGCGACCGATGGCCACCACGGGTGGCGACGGAAGACCATCCGGTCGCGAAATAAAGCGTGGCTGGAATTTTGGTACTGTGATCCTTTGATTGCCCTACAAGATTTGTTGAAGCACCCTAAGCTGCCCGCTAAGATGGTGTTTCATGCAGATCCTCAATACGTTGGAAACGTGAGGGTGTTTAGCACCCCAAAAACTGGCCTTTGGTGGGAGAGGTTGCAAACCTTGGTGCGCGAGGAGGATCCGAATGGAGTGGTGGCTGCTTTGATCCTTGCGAGCGATGAAATGCATATGGATCATAGAGGGAAAGCAAAGGGGCATCCCGTGTATCTCACACTGGGAAACATTGATAAGGATGACAGGTGGCAACCCTATGGTCACGTGCTTCTAGCACTGCTACCTGAGTTTCCTTCCGAGTACAATATGGTGGACAAAATGCAAGTCCATAACTACATCGTGAGAGAGGTGCTGCAATCGCTCATGACGGCTTCATACACCGGCATTGACATGAAGAACGCAGCAGGCGAGAGCATCAACGTGTGACCCTACTTGTATGCATATGTGTTGGACTACCCGGAGTCGTGCAAGATCACTTGAACGAAGTCGTTGGGAACCATGTTCCCTTTTTCAATATGCAAGGTCGAAAAGAAGCATTTGGCAGTGTTGCAGGATCGTATCGATGCTCGTACACCGTGCGAGCAAGAAACAATTGTGCGTGACATTCTGGAAGGTCGTGTCTCGCCTGATGCGGACGAAACCTTGTCCACACACCCAGTGCAGGTACCCATCGTTTTGGTTTATGTTTTGGTGCTACTCTATACGTATATGACCTTGTGTTAATGACACAATTGGGCTGGTTTTGACTTGTGCAGAGCTTCCTCAGCTGCTGGAGGTGGGAGTCCGACACAATTCTGAACCCGTACCTTGCCGTGCTGCCCGATGTGATGCACCAAGCAGATTTGGGCATTTTTTAGCACATCGTTGACTTCATTCGCGTGCATGTGAAGCTGTTGGCAGATAGGAAGAAGCTGGACAGAATTCTTAGGTACTATAAGAAAAACATTAGGGGGGGAAACATGCGGTTGCCATCGGGCCAGTACTTCGAGAAGGGGGCAAACTATCAGGCCTTTGAGCACCGTTCTGTTATGCAGATACTTCCCTTCATTGTGAAGGAATTTATCACGCAGGCGCAGATGGACGCACTCGTCTCGTACATCGAGTGGTATCTAGAGTGTGCGCGGGCATCGGAGCACACCGAGACCACCCTCATTGAATTCAAGACGAAGGCTTCCAGGTCAGTTTTGTAGTGCACTTTGCCTTTGAGTGTTTTCGTTTCTGTCCAACCCTAAGGCCCACGTTTTGTTCCTTGATGCAGGATGTTACACAACCTCAAGACCGCCTTCCCACACACATCAGATTGGAACTTCATCAAAATGCATCTCATAAGTCACTACATAGACTCTATTCGTAGGTCGGGGTTGCCCGAGCACTACTCTGCACAATTATACGAGCACCTGCACATAGAGTACATTAAGAACCCTTACAGGGCGTCGAACAAAAGGTCAGTCAATAGCCAGATCGTGGGCAGCGAAGAGGCGCGGCTTTGTCTACAATACATTGCTCCGCAGCTCGAGAAACGGAAGACGTATGACACAGCCATGGTGAAGGTACGTTACAATTGCAATTCTGTCGACTCCCAACACTGTAAAACTCTCATTACATAGGCATTACGAGTTGGTCCTCTGTTGCCTTGTGTGCAGGCCCAACGGACAGGCGAGCGGGTTCTGTCCAAAAGGAGTTGGACATTGCACGTGCCTGAAACGCGTATCGCAGCTCCATACGCTCGGATACCGGACCCGAAGCACGATGGCCCTTTGCAGGCCATAATTGGCAAGGACTTAAAGCACTTGGCGTGCGGCATTGGATAGGGCACCCGGCTGTGACGGCAAGGGGAATGTCATGTGCAACTGTGCCATAACTTGTAATACTAAGTCTTTACCAAACTTTTATGCTTTCTGATCTCTTATGTTATGTGCCCCTCGTCTCCCTTAAAGACTTGTAGTCTAGGTGTTCAGAATCTTCGTTATTGATTCACCGTTGTGCAAGGACGATGGATAAATGCGACACCCGATTCAGGTGGGTGTACTGACACAGCGCAGCCCACTGTGTCACGTACCTGTATCTACCCACACTGCTGGCGAGGGTGCGTTGGATCCTTCTAGTGCAATCCTGGCTTTGCGGCAGTAAGGGATTGGCTGTGGTGGTGATACAGAGCAATATCTGATGCGCTTTGCCACCTGATTTGCTGTTTTATCTGATGCGTTGGCAACACGTCGAGCCACAACGCGCGGAATATGGCTGTCATGAAACATTATAGACCGTTCCATGCAACAAACCGCATCGCACACGTGGGACCTTATCGCATCTGGAGTCCAGATGTGTTCGGCAAATCGGTCCCGCACCCACACAATTACAGATGTGACTGTATGGCACGAAGGTAAAAAAAAAAAAAAAAAAAAGATACCAACCAATGAGCGCTCATGGTGACTGCGGCTTCGCGGTCGTCACGAGCTTCTCGGGAAATTACGTCACAGTATCGGTTGTACGCTATCATGTTATTGTTTTTGGTCGTAACCGTTCCGACTTTTTTGTGCTCCACGATATTCATTTCCGATGTTTCTTCCACCTTTAGTGTCCCTTTCAAACCATTGAAACATGCATGCATGTTTCGTGTATAACGTGATGCGATGCAATACCTGCAAATATGGCGTATTTATGAACATGTATGCAGGAACTTATGTCGGATATGCAGGGCAGTGTGAGGTGTATCCAAAGAAAGCGCATCGTGTAGTGCAAAGGGAAGGATTAGCTATTTAGAAATCATGCACTATTCTACAAAAAGGTGCAACCATTGTGGTGCTACACTAATTTCATAAACTAGGTGTCGAACACAATTTACTTCATGGGGTCATGTGAAGTCATCGTCAACCATCAGTTTTCACCACACGATGGCAGAAAACACGAGAAACATCAGTTGGGCAGGAAGCAGCAAAAGAGTTTCAGCCGAGCCAGCAGGGGTCACCTTACCCCACCCTCTTTCCCATCTCAATCTTCTGGATCCCCGTGCTCTTTCACAACTAGATGACGATGTGCTAACTCAAGAGCTTAAGAGGCGTAGGGTTTTAGCTAAAGCGGCTGCCAATAAGAAAGCTGCAGTCAACGGCCTTCACGGTGTTCCGACAACTGCTCAGGCGGAAGCACCAGCCCGTCGGGGCAGCCGCCAGAGCAAGCGTGGTGGCGGAGGGCGCGGTCGTACAAACGCGGCGAATGGCAATATTCCCCCTGGCACAACCTCATCTGCACCTGGCTCTGTCGGCGCACCTTCCTCTGCACCTGGTTCCGCCGCTGAACCCTCGTCTGCACCTGGTTATTCCGACGAGCCCTCATCTGCGCCTGGTTCCGCCGGCGCAACCGCTTCTACGCCACGTTCCGCCGTCGCAGCCTCAGTGCCTGGTTCCGCCGTCGCACCCTCTGCGCCTGGTTCCGCCGTCGCACCCTCTGCGCTTGGTTCCGCCGGCGCACCCGCTGCGCCTGGTTCTGCCGGTAGAACCTCCGTTGCCGAACCCGAAGTCGCAATCTTGGCTCTAGTGGCAGGCGCGCCTGCCGATATTCACACCACCGCTCCTGACAATGGCGGCGTAGGCCGCAGTGCACCGACACAAGCCGCTACTCGAGCACTCCCCGCATCTCCAGCTGCTCCCGGTGTGTACGTACCGGGTCCGATGATGGCAGCAGTCATCGAGGCGGCTGAAGAGGGAGGCGTGGATCCTTTTCCCGCTTACGGCATCGAAACAGGAAGCGACGACGATGAGATGAACGACGACGAGGCAGAAGACGCTGTCGGTGCCCAAGCGGGGGATGATGCCGAGTTGCGCGCAGCAGAGCTTCGCGCAGCTGAGTTATGCGCGGCTGAGGTTCGCGCTCCGGAGTTGCGTGCGGCGGATGAGCGAGCTGCGGAGTGCGTGCATCGGAGGTGCGCGCTGCGGAATTGTGCAACGGGACTGATCCGGCAGCAGCTCCAAGGCGTGAACGGTCGCAAGGTAACCCTGTTGAATCATTGACGAACCCCTCTCTGTGCCACTCCAAACCCCTACTCACCCCTTCCCCCCATTCCCTATGTCTGTTTTTATTTTGACACACATCTCTGATTGGGCTTTTTTTTTCCACCATGTACCATCGCCATGCTGGTGCTGTAACTAAAGATATCATTTCCTTTTCTCCACCTTCTCTGCGTGTTTGTTTATGCCCCCTGTTTGTACAATAGTTGCTGGTGCTCACTATTTCAGGGAAGCTAGACAACTTGAGGCTAAACTTCGAGACTTTCATAACACAGTTTCGACACTTACCGCTCAGCTGCAGGAGGCAAGGGCCGCGATCAAGAGGGTGGAGGCAGAACGCGATCAACTGAAGGCTCAGCTGGAGACGCTGCAGCGCCAGCTTTCTGCAGAGGTCGCCGGAACGAGCGCGGACGAAGATGTACGGGACCCTTCTGACCCGCAAGTCAAAATGGAAAACGTCCACAAGGACACCTTGAGCAAGCCGATCATTCCATCGTCTCTGTCAGATGGGGACGCATTCGATGTAAGTGATTTAGTATGTGAATCGCGTACAGCTTGTTTATCGTTTTCTATGTCATTTGTTATAACTGTTATAGCCCCGCCCCCCTACCTTGACCTCCCCCCTCGCCCCTTACCAACCTTACATATGTCCAATTTCCAAAATTAATGCATTCCATGTGTCATGTGCCTCAATGCGACACTCTGTCCGTTTTCTTATTTGATTTTACTTGGCAGGATATGGTGGGCAAAATCTACGGTTGGCTCATCACTGTTGCCTCTGCGGGAGACATGGAGTTCTACCCCTTGTGGGAAGAATTCCAGCCGCATCTGGTGCGCAAGTACATAGCTGAGGGGACAACTCAAGACCAGTACTACCTCTTCATGGGTGGCAACAGCAAGCGCGTGGAACGGGCTCTGAAGCTGATTGGCACCAAACGTGCCAACATGAACAAGCCCATCAAGCTGTGGGCGTGGGTCGCTGGCGGGTACATCGACGAGGAGAAGTGGCACCTCCTGAAGATTGGAGGCATTACTCCAACGAAAGCACGTGATGCTGTGGAGTGGGTGAAGCAGTTTAAACATCGTGAGTTTTATGTTTTTTCCCTGCCAGCATGGTATCTTTTTGGTCCTGTACACTGCTCGTGATCTAACTGCCGTTTCTCACTCTCTGTCTGCAGCTAAGTATGGCTACGATTGGCACTGCAATGCTCAGGGCCGTCCTTTCGCGAATGCTGCATTTGAACTGGCAGTCAAGAAGGCGTTCGTTAGTGCGAGGTGCAACATATTTTGTGTGAAAATTCCAGCGGTCGGCTATCTCTGCAACGTGGTAAGCTTGAGATTCCTTGTGTTTATGTCAATAATGCCTGCTGCACTTCCGGTTTTTTTAATACATGTAAGCTGGTTGTTGGCAGGTGGAATGGCCCTTGGAGAATCACAAGGGCAAGGGCCATGCTTCCCTCGACAACAATGAGATGAACAACCGCAACAACGTCCATGCCAAGACGAATGTCGTTGCAGAGTGGCTGAAGGAGACACTTGTAAGGGAACCTGCCACGCTGCAGATTGATGAGCCCATGGGGTTTGAGATGGGCATTGGTAAGGTTAGGATCTTGATCGAGGGTTATGAGCTTTTCTTCTTCCCCTCTGGGGTTGTTCCTATCCCGTGGCCTCCTGTAACAAATGTGTGATTTTTATTTGATAATTTTGAGATGGTGCCATTGATGATTACTTGTAGCTGTTGGATCTTCTTTGTAATAGGCACTTAATTAGTGCTCCCAAAATGGCCTGGCAATTGTAGCATAAAACGAAATATATTTACCAATTTCGCATTGTATCGATCATTCAATAAAAATGTATTGATTAGCAATTGGATACAAAACATTTGAATTAATTCTTCAAAAGTGACTGTAACGAGCATGAATATAGCATTGTAAAATATCTTATAACAAAATCGATTAAGACATGTACGCTACGTACATGCCCACTGTACTAGTTACATGTTGACGTCCGCTGCTCCGGTAGCCCTTTCGCTCAATCCATCACCACATTTCCTGAACAGTTCGTCACAATGCTGTTTACCACCATTCACTACCTCAAATCTGCCTGTTCTGTATGTACATGTGGTCACGCGAGGCTCAAACCTCAACCGCACCTCTTGCCTACTACACTGACGTAGGACGACCAGAACCCGTAGGAACCCATCGTGTCAGCTCCGTAAACCACCACACGATGGTACCCACCCTCGCACCCTTAAATGCTGGTCAACCGATGTTAACCGCACCCACGGTTTTGGGCGGTGCTTTGCATCGTACACTCCCGCACTCCTTCACACCCTCGACCGTCAAACACCACAAACCGGCCCCACATTTTTCCGATGGAAGCCATGGCTTCCTGGCAGCACGAGAGTTGTGGTGCGATTTGAATGAAGCTATGCTTCTTCCTGTAATGAAGCTGTACATGCTAATACGTAACACATTATGATTTTGAGTTCATACACTCACATAGAACATGACACTACAACATTTATGTATAAACTATTTTCCATGCTGAAGCCGTTGACCAAGATATATCCATCCATGAGCAAGCTAGCATATCAAGGCTCATCAGCAAGCTAGGTACACTAAATAATTTCGATGGATATTTATGTACAACCGTAATTCTACTTATGCCTTACTGAGATATATACCAAGCAGGTCTCAATCTGCAGGACATGACCAGAGTGATGTAAACATTCATACAGTCCCCAGCACTGGCTCCATAGGTGCACTGCGGTTTCAGACTATAGAAACATTTGAGCTTGTGGCTATCATAATCGAGACTTGGGCCTGTTACCACCTTCAAGGTTACCCATTTCCTTCGCCCTCTCCCTCAAAACAAACTTTTGAATCTTGCCCGTGGCCGTCTTCGGCAGCTCCGTGAAAACAACCGTCTGGGGCGCCATATAATACGGCAGGTGGTCACGGCAAAACGCAATGATATCCCCCTCGCCCACACTCGCATGCTGCTCCCCTGGCTTGCGGCACACAAAGGCACACACAGACTCCCCTCACATGGTATCAGGGCGGGCCACGACCGAAGCCTCTAGCACGGATGGGTGGCGGTATAGAACTTCTTCCACTGCTATGCTGCTCACGTTCTCCCCACCCGATATGATTATGTCTTTAGAGCGATCCTGTATGGGGAAAGGAAGGGTGTACAGAAGAGAGGGCAAGGGGGAGGAGATACAGCACTGCCTTTACCGCTAAGCTGCTCACGTTCTTGCCACCTGACATGATTATGTCCTTTGAGTGATCCTGGTGGGAAAGGGAAGGGTGGGTGTGATGAGCAAGAGAGTGAAAGTAGTGGGAGGTGTGTAGGACGGCGGTACAACACTGCCTCCACTGCTATGCTGCTCACGTTCTCACCCTCACCACCATATCGCGTTTTCCGTGCGTAGCTTGACCTAGAGCCTGTAAGGGAGGGAAAGGGGGGAAAGGGGCGAAGACCAGCAAGGGGAGAAGCGACAAGGGCATGGAAGCGATATCCTCATCTTGACCTTGAGCCTGCGAGGAGAAGGGGTGGGAAAGTGGGGGAGACAGAGGAGCGACAAGGGGATGAAAGAGATAGTGGCATGCTTGGCGATTTTTTAGGCGCCTCACACTTGTTGCTGTTTTACTCACACTGTACCGACTTGTGGTGTGGCAAGCTCCCGCGACTATACAACCAACAGCTGCTCTAACATGACCTCTTCCTCTAACATGACCTCTTCCTCTAACATGCCCTCTTCCTCTAACATGCCCTCTTCCTCTAACATGCCCTCTTCCCCTAACATGACATCTTCCCCTAACATGACATCTTCCCCTAACATGACCTCTTCCCCTAACATGACCTCTTCCACTAACATGACCTCTTCCCCTAACATGACCTCTTCCCCTAACAAGACATCTTCCCCTAACATGACCTCTTCCCCTAGCATGACCTCTTCCCCTAACATGCTCGCTGATGTTCTTACCAGGGTCTTACTAGACTGCAGTCCATGAAAAATGTCCGTTTCCCAAAGCTGTTCAAAACCAAGGGTTCGTGAGAGCATGGGGGGCGCGGACATGGACGGACAACAAACAACAAGCCAATGCGCGACTTCCCCTTAAGCACAGCCATTTCCCTCTAGCCACTCCCCCATGGCTCACTTCCTCATGGCCACGCTCTCCCCCTTCCCCCATCCCTCACTTCTCCATATCTCACTCAATACTGCATGCCTCCCCTTGCCCATTCCCCTCCTCCCCCGTGTCTCACTCAAAACCTAAAGGATCGATCCACGTCACCCTTGTTCACCTCAACGAACACTCCTCTCGCCCCTCACACCTCACCCCTCACCCCGCTCCCCCATCGCTAACGTCCCCATTACTTGCTCTTCTTTCCTCTTCCCCCTCAGTCACCTCTAAGAGCCTCACTCACTTCTTAATTGCGCGATCCACGTCGCCTTTCGTCACCTCAACGAACACGCCCCTCGCCTGCCCCGTGCCCGCATTGCTCACCTCATCATGCCTCATCCTCTCCCCACTCCCCCATGCCTCAATTCTTGATGGCTCGATCCACGTCGCCCTTCTTCACCTCAACGAACACGCCCTTCACACCTCACCCCTCACCCCGCTCCCCCATCGCTCATGTCTTCATGGCTTGCTCTTCTTTCCTCTTCCCCCTCTGTCACCTATAAGAGCCTCACTCACTTCTTGATTGCGCGATCCACGAACACGCTCCTTGTTGGGTGCAAATATTTATTTTTTGCACGTCAACCAGCCGCCTGCGTCGCATTTTGCATATTTGTGTGTGTGCGCATTTTTCATTTTCGTTTTGTGAACGTTCTGTGCGCATCTGTCCTTGTGTGTTGTGTGTTTCGTTTTTATTCATAAGTGCATTTTGTGTTTTTGCATTTTCAGTTTCGTTTCCACTGTTCTCATGAAGCTCCCATGAAGCGCTCAAATGAGGCCCTCATGACGCGCTCAAATGAGACTCATGCAAAGCTCTCAAATGAGACTCATGCGAAGCCCTCAAATGAGGCTCAAATGAAGACCTTATGGAGCTCAAACGAAGGTCGCATGGGACTTAGATGTTTTATGCGAGGCTCATGCGAGCGACCATGAAAGTCCCATGAGTCTCGAATTTTCATGCGAGATTTATTGAAGCCACATGTGAGCGGGTGGTGTACCGAGGGGTGCTCGGTTCTTTGACTGGTCAAGAGGTGCCTTGACTTTTCTCGCGCTGGTCAACAGCGCGAAAGTCAAGACCCGATCGTGGGTCAAGGCACGCGCGTGTGGGACCTCAGGGCACGCGCGTGTGCCGCGTACTGTTGCGAGCGTGCTGTACAGCACGATCGCAACAAGACAGGGCCCATTTCGGCCCTGTCCCGTACTATACGCGCGCATGATTACGATCATGGCGGGCTGTACAGCACGACCGAGAAAAAATCTCGGTCGTGCGTGTGGCACGAGGGGTGCTCGGAATTTACAGTTGAAAAACTGTTTTCCGAGTTGACTCACGGGACGGGAAATTTCTCGCGAAAGTCATTTCGCTTTGCGGAATCACTTCGACACAGGTGCAAATCGGTTACTCCGTTTTTCAAACGGTAAAAACCGTTATACAACTGTGAGCTCGCATGAAGACATTTGAGCTACATTGGAGCAACATGCGAGTCTCATGAGTGTACACATTTGAGTCAGCAGGGGCGATTGTTACAAGTGCAATTTGAAGACAGTTTTTAACAACAGGAGGATATAGCCAAATGCTCAAGGAGTTGTGCAACCGTTTTCAAGATACAGCGTGGCGAAATCCTGCGAACCAGTTAAACAACTGTTTTCTAGTTACTCCTGCCTGTGCGTAGAATCTATATAAATGTATGCTTGTACCTGTCGAAATTAATTTAATGCATTCGCGCTTTTCAAGCTCACAATTTTACTACTTCGTATTGACGAGAGTAGAAAGATTACCTTGGTGCTGCCGAAATTCTCCTCAACCAGTTTGCTCGTCCTACAAGCTGAGCAAGGCATAACTACTCACTTGCTATTTTCACGCCCTTGGCTAGGAGGTGACAAGTTGTCACACTCGAAAGGCTGCAAGTGAAGTTAAGTGTTGCCAAGCAAAGTTTGTATCTCAAGCATTAATCGCTTCCGCATAACGTTATAGCAGTTAACACGTGGTATCAGAGCTGGTACTTAGTCGTTTTGAACGTATCCAACGATGGGGTCGCCTGGAGAAGAAGGGATTTCAGCTCCCGCGAGTAGTGGTAGCCAGGAATCTGGAGTATCCGCGCCTAGGGTAGCACGGACGAGCCAGGGACCACTACTAAGGGAAGTTCTGAAAAACTTCTCCGTCGACAAATTCAGTGGTGAAGGGTACGACGACTGGTCCTGGAAGATGCAGTTATATTTTCGGCAGATAGGACTTCTCAAAGTCATGATCGGTAGTGAGAAACGCCCTAGCAATCCGGAACTTCAAGGCGATTGGGACGAACGTTCTTCAGCTGGATATTACATCCTTTCTCAGAGCTTAGATCTTGCCCAACGCCAGCATATCATGCACCTACTTCCAGAGGATGAGTGCGGACCAAAGGCGTGGACCGTGCTCAAGGATCTTCATGCACCTACCTCAGTTGTTGCCACTCTCATGTTAGAGAGAGAGCTCTCCACCCTGCACCTCAGTGAAGGAGAACCTGTTCAACCCGTCCTAGATAAGCTTAGGGACCTCTACGCCAAGCTAGCTATTGCCGGCATTACCTACCCCGAGTCAACAAAATGTGTGAAGATGCTGTCACTGCTGCCGGAATCTTGGATGGTCTTCACCAGCGGCCTTAGCCTTCCCCAAAACCAAAGCCTCTGGACCCTGGAGTGGATTCGGACTAAGATACTCGAGGAAGACTTCCGGAGGCGTCAGTTGAGGGGAGGAGAGGAAGGAAGCAGCAGCTATGCAATGCAAGGTGGTAAGAGGGGCAGAGGCAAGAAATGGCAAGGGACTGGGAGAGGAGCTTCAAAGGATGAGGAGACTTCTAACCAGCAAGGCGGTAGAGGAGCAGGACGTGGTGGAGGCCGAGGTGGCAGAGGTGGTGGAAGGGGACCTGGGAGAATGGAAGGCAAGTGTTGGTACTGTGAGAAAGTGGGTCACCCGTGGTTTAAATGCAGGACCAAACCCACCTGGTGGACCCCCTCCAACAGGACTCAAGATGGGAGCGGCGCCGGAGCGGTTGCGGATGATGAACCGGCTGAACAAGAGGAGAGGGAAGCCGGTCAGTTCTTCCATGTTGGTGAGCCGGATGAGGTCGCAGTAATCGCCCATGCTGGAGCCAAGCTGCACCCGCTCAACACGTGGATATTGGACACAGGAGCAGCATGGACTATGACGCCAAGGGCTGACCTCCTGGACAATGTGGGGGCAGCACCGATTGCTAAAGTGAAGTCGGCTTCCGGGCATGCGCTCAAGGTGACGGGGGCGGGGCGCGCTGCATTCAAGTGAGCTGACGGCAAACCGGTGGTGCTAAGTGATGTGCTGCTGGTACCTGATTTGAAGGCAAACCTCATCTCCCTGAGGAAGTTAGGCAAGTGCGGGGTGAGCACAAGTACCAAGGGCGCCAAAACGTTCAAGGGGCAGCTGGGAAAGCGGATGCTTTGGGACTTGCATGAGGATAAGGACATATGCAAGTCCATGTGGCAGCTGCCGGTGGTGCCCTAGGATAAGGGGAATGGCTTCCAGGGGGAGTGCAACGCTGTAGCTGCAGAGGAGCTGAAGGTCTCAGCAAGGGGAGGTGAAACGGACTGGATGACAGCCCACCGTCGCCTCGGGCACATTGCTATGCCCGCACTGCAGCAACTGCACAAGGATGAAGGGATTAAGGGGCTGAAGCTAACAGATGCAGCAGCAACCCACAAGTGTGAAACTTGCCTGTTGAGCAAGTTCACTCGGTTCCCATTCCATGCAACCGAGGGTGGCGGCAAGAAACTGCTTGAGTTAGTGCACATGGACGTGGTGGGGCCGCTGCCAGTGGTGGGGGAGCGTGGTGAGAAGTTCTTCCTCACCATCGTGGACGACTGGAGCCGAGTGACTTGGGCATACCCCATCAAGAAGAAGGACCAAGTGCCGTCCATCATCCGAGATGAGTGGCTGCCGTTGGTGGAGAAGCAATCTGATCACAAGGTGATGCGGATCAGGACTGATAGGGGTGGGGAGTTCTTAGGGGAGGAGCTGAATGCATGGCTGAAGAAGCAGGGAATCATTCGGGAGCTCACCACCTCCTACACACCGCAATCGAACGGCGTAGCAGAACGAGCAAACCGCACGGTCTTGGAGACAGCACGGGCTCTTCTCATTGAGTCAGGTTTGGGGAACTCTAAGTGGCCACATGCTGTGCGCCACGCCACGGTGGTGAAGAACAGGGTGTTCACCAACGTTGGTGGTGAGTCATGGGTCCCCATGGAGAGGTGGCTTGGGAGGAAGCCGCCCATTGACATGCTGCGTGCGTTTGGCTGCATGGCTGTGGCACATATCCCCAAAGCACATCGCAACAAGTTGGGCGCAACGGCTGTGTGGTGTGTGCATTTGGGTTTGGCAGCAGAAAGCAAGGGTGGCTGCTATGGGAGCCGAGCAAGGGAGTCGTATTCGACAGTAGGGATGTCAAGTTCATGGAAGACATCACCTACGGGTGCTGGTCTAAGCAACCAAAGGAGCAGATTGTGCAGCAACTGCAGCAGGCAACCATGGGATTTGCGGTGGAGGAGCAGTGGGTTGGGGAGGAGATTGCAACGGCACATGAGGAGGGTGCAGCAGAACTCCCCGTGGTTAAGAGTGTGGAGTCAATGGCTGAACCTGAAGAACCCCATCCCATAACACGTGTCATTCCCCCTACTCCCTCCTCAAGGAGAACCCAAACCAAACCCCAACCCACAAGACGAGCCTTCTCACCTATGATGACGCGGCAGATGCGAGCTGCCGCCTTGAAGGCGAAGGCAA